CGTTCTTCTTCTGTGACGTATGACTGCACGCAATAGCATCCAGCCTCCAGGGCGTTCCGGTCAGTCACTTAACTCGTTCCCCTGCAAGCGTAAACTTGGAGACAAACACAGGGTTGTAAGGGCGGTGAGACACACTCATACAACCATATCGATCGTGGGGCGATCACTCAGATGGCTCAGTGGTTCGAGCGTGAATTTACTGACCCGAAGATCCGTAGTTCGAACACGACTTCTGCCTTTCGACTTCCTCTGTCTAGGCTTGGGTGACCCGGCGGTATCCCAGCCCTCGCGCTTCTTTCGGGTGACACCACAGTTAGATAACGAAAAGGTACCACAGCTGAACGATTTATTTAGGATCGAACGTGAGTTTGGCAATCCGAATCTGAATGACTCTTCTAAACAAAACAGAAACAACTACTCGCCACAGGACTCTATAGATCGTCTCACGCGATTACGTGGGAACAAAATGCATTGTTGTGTCAACCAATAATCTCGTGTGATAATCTGCCTTCAGACCACTGGGTTTCATGGAACAGTCTTGACATAATCGGTTTGGAAAACTAATCGTCAGCCCTGACGTAACTGTGGATTTGTCAAGCCCCTGACACAATGGTGTGCAGTAGTGTGTGACGAAAGTTGGTAACTCACACTAAGGTGCTTTTTCCGAGTCTTGTGTCGAATCTCTCCGATGGGGTGTACGATCGAAATGACTTTTTTAAAATTTTAAAGTCAAACTAGGGAGAAACGAAATGGTGCATCTGGTACTACTGGATTTCATCCAGAATTGATAAATTAACCGGTTGTTGATCAATTGGTAGTCGATCTGTTCACTGAGGTTGACCACTGGTTCCCATAAGGTTCGTCAAAATGCGAGGGGGCATCGGTAATGAGTGGGTGTTTCCCAAAATCTACTTGTAATCACACAGCCTCTAAAGAGTATCTAATATAGCTAACCTGAATGGTTGTTGGAAGTTACACCTTCACGTGATTTGATTGGTCCGTTTAGAACGCGCGCCGCATTGTGGTCGCTTTGCATCAACGAGTTGGTGCGTTGTATATCTTCACGTCACCCTGGAATAAAGATGACCCACGAACCAACCCAATGATTTAAGCCGAACCACAATGCAACAGGGATCCTAAGCGGACCAATCGAATCATACGAAGGTGGAATTTTAACAACCACTCAGGTGAGGTATATCAAAAAGTCCTTAAACAATATGCAAAAGCAAGTGCTCCTGCAGGGAACACCTGCCCAGTCGAACCCGGCCAATGCCTCCTCGCATTCTGACGAAACGCATGCCAACAGTTCGTGGAGCTCGACGATCAGTTCAGCTGCCAGATGATCGAGAGCCAATCTACGCAACTGATCTATCAATAGCTCGACATGACCGAAAACGTGCATGTTCCAGTCTCGCTATACGGATGCCTCCGTTACTTGTGCACAGCTTCGCCTACTGGCGAGCTAGAATAATCTCAGAAAAAACTGGAAAACTCAAGACCAACTGTGACCCTGGACGCTTTTTGACAGATTTCACAAAATTGCAAAAACAAGTTTCCAGGGACGTCATGTGTAGGCATCCATGACATAACGAGAGGCTCACGTCTGAAATTCATTTTGTTGATTAAAACTGATGTTTATCATCGAGAAATGTCGTTAAAACAAAAGGGAATGACAGTCCGACAAGCCGCCTGAAAGCCAGAACGCGGTTCTGTAAATTTTTCGCTTTTACGCAATTACTGAACCATTTTACACATAGTGAGGACTCAAAAAACCACTGGTGGGTCATCTGTGTTCACGAAAGTTTTATGCAAGAATCATTGGTCGTTTATTCACACACACACAACATGGTAGCAAAAAGTCTACGCAAACGGCAAACAAAGGTTCCATTTGGTCTAGACAACACATCGTTGACGTCAGCTCAATGCAAGCTCAGTGAACAAATCAGTCCAATTTGGGTTCAAGTAGAACATACGGTTGACGGAAACTCGGGGACTGCGCCTACCCGATGAGCCGGCCTCATGAGGGGCGAAACCGGTCGTGGGCTGTCGAAGAGTTTTCAGCAACCTTGTGAGTAGTTTCCTTTATCAAAATATAGTGCGGCATCTCGAATATCGTGCCAACTGAAACGCGAGGCGGCCTTTGTACTGCACATTCAGTTGCAGAATATCATAAACAAGATATTCAGTTGAGTCTCTCATGAAAACTAAATTGATTTGCAAATGAGTGTATTTCTCGAAAACAGTCCAATTCGGGTTCAAAGTAGAACACACGGTTGACGGAAACTCGGGGACTGCGCCTACCCGATTAGCCGGCCTCATGAGGGGCGAAACCGGTCGTGGGCTGTCGAAGAGTTTTCACCAATCTTATGAGTAGTTTCCTTCATGAAAATCAGAAATTTATTTCAAAACACGAGGTACAAGCGTCTTAGAGCTGGCATGGTTTAATTAACTTGGGTTTACACCTATTGAGGAGTCATCGGATGTTTGCACACATGGCTTAGCGCAACTCGCATGTGGAATTCTCTACCTTGCTCGTGTGCCCATCCTCATGGACAAGCCCAAAATCCGATGTCAGCTGATTGTTTCTGCTCACAGTATCCTGAAGGAGGGCTGTCACCTCGTCCAGTTGGCTAGGCATTGGTTAGCGCTATTTAGTGAAAATCTTTCCTTAAAACGGCCCACTAACGTGCTACGCCGTTCGAGCCGTCTAGACTGTATCGCTCAGTGGCTAAGGCCCGAACATACTGACTGGAAGGTTCGTGGTTCTGACCTAACCCCCGGGGATCTCGACTGCTGCAGTCTAGGCTGACAGCATCTTAGCCCTCGCGTCTCCTTCTGGTGGCATGACAGCTAGCAACCCAAAGGGTGTTACACCTTAACGACTCACACCTTCATAGCGAGTTGGAAGGTATTCCGATAGGTTGGCACATCCTGTCTTGCAGGTTACTAAACACCAGATACTGTTATATCTGACTGCTGCTCCCACTCTAGTGTCTGGTGGCTGAAAAGGAACACAAAAATTTTATTGTAACAAGCCGGCCTAAGTTACAACGGCCTCGTGCTAACTAAGAGGCAGTTTTCGACATTAATCCAGGCTGTCTGAAAGGCATTTTTAGTGAACACCGACCAATACTCACCGTGCTTCTCTGAACGCTGATCATGTTCGGTTGTGCTTCTGTGGCATGCCTGAACACTCATCGGCTTTTGCTGACTTGACTGAATGATTGATTGGCCCGGATGCCTGCCGACCTTCCTATTTAGAGTTTGGTGGAGTAGGTTCCGGGCGTTCTGGGGTTTATTTCAGGAATCTGACCTCCCTGACACAGGTACCTGCCTGGGTTCGAACAGGTTCCTCATTTTTGTGCGGTTCCATCTCGTAATGAGGTTCCCCCCAAGTGACGGTAAGGAGGGCGAGAATTCAATGCTTTTGAGAAACGAAACCACAACACAGTATGCTGTTTAGTGATTTAACACTACCCCACTCACTATGATAATTTACGGTTTTCTTAAAAAGACCAGCCCATGAAATGAGGTAAGCTTTTTCCCGAAAAGCTGATGGCTTCACGGATGGCCTCCACTGTACTGCACTCGTAACAATCGTTAGCTTACAGGACAATCCGAACCATCATCTTTCACCAAACTAATCAGGCGTTTCAACGGACTGCGAATCTTGTGAGTGGATGGAATTTACGCTGCAAATATTAGAGGCACTGCATAGCTGTTAAGAATCATCTCGAGAATATCTAGGATGCTTCGAACCGCATAGTTTTCCAGGATTGGCCGGTCAACAGTGTGATGAAATGCCATCTTTGAAATTTCCGTCTGAAAGATCTTGTACAGTCTCCACCGCAAATAACTGGTCTTGATCACAGGCTTTTCGAATGAACAGTGAAGGTTTCCGCAGACGTTGGTTCAGCTAAGCAGTATGTATATACTGGTGATATCGAAGATACAAAGTCGTGGATTCGTCCGCGTATGCTTTCAGTGGAAACCAGATCAATATTCCCCTCGGTCTATCTGGTTGCTAGCCGCTCGATTACTGCCTCAACTGCGCTGGTCATTGCCGTCTCCCTGGACGGGACATATCAATCATTAGTCATTGTCAGACATGGCCCAGTGGCACCCTCAATGGAACTCGTGCATCCAAGCTGTTGGCTTCAATGCGTAGCGAATGTAGCCGCTAGAACCGATGTGCGGCAAGTACGCGACGAGACGGTTAGAGAGCGAATTTACTGACCGCAAGATCCGTGGTTCGAACGAGACCTCTGCCTCTCGACTTTCCCCGTCTAGGCTTGGGCAACCTGACAGTATCTCAGCCCTCGTGCCTCCTTCGGGTAGCATGGCAGCTAGGCACCGAAAGGGTGTTACAGCTGAACGACGCCTATTTTACAGCTGATGATGAAGACTGGCAGATTGAGACCGGTTAAAGCGGATCCACACGGCCCAGTATGCATGCGCAGATGAGAGAGTGAGAAGTGGGGGACTGGGCCAGGTGGAAACCAGCAATAAGATTGATTAGGCGGACGTTATATTGCCATGCAAGCTAGCGCCACGATATACAGTCACGAAGTCAAGTGGACTGTGACGAAATCAGGTCAATTTGCGTATGCGATGGTGGACATTGGGGGTAGCCGTATGAAAGGAAAACCATTCTCGCAGTCAAGTGGATGTCAAGGAAGGGGGAATGATCCACTGTCTCATACCCACAAGCCATCGTGCATTCGAAGAAACCATCGATACGAAAAACTGTGGATGAGTTTATGTACTGAGGTAGATCATCTTGGTTTCAAGAGTAGACGATTGAACCAACAGGGTATTGTGTACCCCCGGACGAATTGCTCGCCCCCCCCCCGGAACAAGAGGCTGTCACCACGCGGGAAAAAATCAGTACGACGCTGTGGAGGGAGCTTTATCTGAGTAGAAGAGTAGCCGATTGAAACAACAGGGTATCTTGTACCCCCGGACGAATTGCCCGCCCCCCCCCCCGGAACAAGAGGCTGTCACCACGCGGGAAAAAATCAGTACGACGCTGTGGAGGGAGCTTTATCTGAGTAGCGATATCAGACACAAAAAGAGAAGAATTATGCTTTCAATGACACACTATGGGAAATCCATCGAATCAAAGTGAGGAGCAGAAAAGATGGAGACATCATCTCCATGCGAATCACAATCATGAATTTTGATGACTGAGGTAAGTGAGAGAGAGGAAAAACACACGGATATTCATATGTTGCAAAAGTATCGCGAAAAGTACAACGAATGAAGGAAAATAGTGGTTAAAAATGACGGGGGGCGAGGGGGCGAAAAGTCCGGTGTGCTCAGCCGAGCACCTAATTGAGAACAGTAATAGTGCGTGGTACATCGATCGTGATTGGAGGCAGGTGTTCGAGTAAATCCACTTCGTGCAGATGTCGTTTGTGTTTGGCGGCAACCGCTTTGTTCAGTCCGGGACCTGCAAATGGAAGGCGAAAGAGTGAGGTACTACCGAGTAGAAACAGAAACCGATTGCTAGACACGCATGCATACAAACAGCAATACCATCGTTGAATAGGATACTTCATTGGCACAAAATCTATGATTTGTTGTTACTCCCAGTAATGTACGTCAAGATGCGCGGCAGCCGGCGCTGCTCACCAACGGTTGGCAAGGATCAGGCGGTAACCGGTGGTAGCCTCATTCACAATCACCGTCATTACGAACGTCTACACTGATGCTTAACTGCCGTACAGCCATACAAAGTTTTTCTAACGTACTTAAAGTCTTGAAGTGAACGAACGAAAGGGTTCAACAAGGAGAGACCCGGTGTTACCCTACCACAACCATCCTCAAGTGTTGACACGTCCAAGTGCTGAATAAGACCGCCTGGAAAGAAACTGACAACACGAACGCCAGTGACATCGATCAGCCGCAATTGCTTGCATTGTCTCCCGCCAAGGGCATGCGGGGTCACGCGTCCCCATCCTGCAAGGCGTACTGCACCAACAACACGTAAACTCTTCGTAACCTCTTTCACACCCTTCTACAAAGTCATCGGTTGCATCATTATGACGGGAGCCATGGTGGACGGCAGTTCAGCATTCGTCGTATATGGCAAGGCAATGAAGTTGCTGGATACTCACCACAACTGAAGTACGGACCACACAACCGAATGCCCGTTTTCTAATTACCTCGTTAGGATGTCTTTGGCGCCATTCGACACCAGCAATGCTTATGAGGCATCGGTGGTAAAAAAACTGAAGAGGCCTCACATCGTCTGCCCACAGAGGCCATGACTTGCAACCATACAACATTACAAACGACCCTGAGACGTAACGGTATGCCTTCTAGATGCCACCAAGCCAATACGTGGCCAAGTCAGCGTAACCTGTGCAGTGTGATCAGCTCATCTATCGAGGCTGAGTTATTTCTTCCGAATACCATTTGATGTACTTCAGCATTGGTGATCCGGTGTTCCCATCAGTTTCGGGCAATGTCTCGGAGACATCGATGGTAAAACACTGGAAGTCTTTTGATGTCCTCGGCACGCAGCAGCAGGTTTCTGATCCATATAGTAATATGGAGCGCTGTAGGGTTGTGAGACTGTTCACCGGGACTTTACTACTCTCTTTGAAAAATGGCGAGTGCAGACCATCGGTTGAAGGAATAAAACCTCAGGCCAGATTCACGTTGCTGACAGTGGGTTGATGTTCCGAAGAGAGAAAAGTGGAACGTTGGAGCTCAGAGTGGTAGACCGGTTGACAGCAGTGCATCATTCGATGGGTGTCTGGAGCCCAGCCATCCCTAATAAGCGAACATCAAATCATTTGGACGGATGTGTCACGTGGAGGACACGGACCAAACGAAGGAATGCCCTGATTGGTCGAAATGCCAGCCAATCCGAGTCGAGCACCTTTGACTCGACGCTTCTCGAACCCCACACGGAGATTCTAACACGACCTTGTGGAACATTGTGACTACCCTATAAATACAGTAGTAATAATTTTCCTTTCTCTCCATAAACGGCTGTCTAGAGGTACCGTGCCTTTTGATATAACATAGTGGGCGCAACAGGAGGCTAAAGGAACGATACAGAGTTGCATTAGCGTTCAGCAAAATGTGTGAGGAGGGGAGTGTGAGTAAGGGTCGACAAAGCTGCAATGGCAAATGGTACTTCCCGGTCGAGGAGCTGAAGTACTCCACCTCGAGCCTCCGACTCAAAAGTCTGACCCGCGAGGCAGTAGGGCTTTCTTTGGAGACCCCGTGCGGAACTGATGACTCAATAGTCTGACCTTGTCGGCCGCAGTGGACTGGCCTGACCCGAACAGCCAGAAATTAAATGGCTGCTAATGCGGTTGCGAACAGCAGGTTCCTTTCGGGTAGGACCAGACTCTTTAATTTCAAAAGCGTTTCGACGGCATCGGTGTTCTACAATTCCACTCAGCTTTCTCGCTGATCAAGCTGAAAATAGACGATTCCAAAGAAACGTTGCTGGAAGTACATCGATCCTGTATACGCACAGGAATAGCTACAAGAAGAGACAAGTATATCTCCAGTTCACACGGATGCAGTCACGTGAATAACGCCGATTGGCCAACGAAACGAAAGAACCATATAGACAGCAAATGCGGGGACAACTAGATAGATCATGTAGAGCAACACTTACCGAAGTAACTCATAAGAACGGGCAAAACAATGAGACCGGTGATCGCACCGAAAACAATGATGCCCAGATACATGCGGAAGTAGAACACCTGGAATAGTCGCGACTTGGAGAAAGCAAGAATCACGATCCCACCAAGTTTCGTGAGAGTGATACCACGGAGGATCTGTAAGAGGAAAGATCGCATGCAAACTCTGATCTGCTTTATGACGAAACATTAAGCATATCGAGAGCAATTCAGTGCACGTGAGGAGGGGGAGCATATGTTAACAGTAGAAAGATCATTGAAAAACAAGTCAACCCTGCAAGGCTAGTCTGTGGTCAACCTCCTTCACAGAGAACCGATAAAAAGTTACACGCTATTCACGCGGCGAGATGGATCAAGTGGTTACAGCGCGAATCTACTGACTGGAAGGTCCGTGATTCGAACCCGAACTCTACCTCTCGACTTCCCCAGTCTAGGCTTGGGCAACCTGACAGTATCCCAGCCCTCGTGCTTTCTTCGGGAAGCATGGCAGCTAGACACCGGGTGTTACGGCCGAATGACTTTATTCACGGTACGCATCATCATCATCGACAGCATGACATCAGTGTTCAACACCGATGCTTCACTGTACGCATAAATCCACAAATAAGACAATGGTCATTTCGATGGCAGGGTGAGGATGTTGGGGATTTTTTCCTTTAATTGAATCCCGAAAAGTACTGCACATCTGCTTCATTCTTTTTATGAATCGCTGCTGTTCATAAGTCACGTGCCGGAATTTGCACAGTTTTAAACCGAATAAAAAAACAAAACTGTGGCACTTCGAAGAAGGCCTTACTGACTTCGAACAATAGTCCGTTCAAGACAGAATCTTTTCTACTGAATTTGGAAAACCTTCACGTACTCTTGCCTCAGTGGTAAGAGCGCGAATTTACTAACCTGAAGGTCCGTGGTTCGAACCCGACATCTGCATCTCAACTTCCCCGAGGCGAGATGGCTCAAGTGGTTAGAACGCGAATTTACTGACCGGAAGGTCTGTAGTTCGAACCTGACCTCTACCTCTCGACTTCCCTGTCTAGGCTTGGGCAACCTGGTAATATGCCAGCTCTCGTGCTTCCTTCGGGTGGCATGGCAGCTAAAGTGTCACAGCTGAACGATTATTACTCCCACCTGCATTACTTAAATAGCTGTTTGTTTACTTTAGGCCATCGTTTGTTACAGCGCCGTAATGAGGAAGCTCACTTGGGTCGTTCCATGGATTGTCCCAAGATAGTGTATGGAGAGATCCCTTGATTATTCCGCGTAGTAACTGGATACCGGAATCGTTTGCATCCATTTGAGGCCACATGTGAAACACGCAATGCAGGCATGCCAGCCGGTTTATTCGCGATGGACCTACCTTTAGGACGAAGGCCGACAGCACTGGAAATGTTTTCAAACGGATGCAGACGCTTCAGGTGAGACTTGTCTCCTTAACCGGGGGCAAGGTGGCCCAAGTGGTTAGAGCGCGAATTCACTGACCGGAAGGTCCGTGGTTCGAACCCGACCTCTCTTCTCGACTTCCCCTGTCTAGGCTTGGGCAACATGACAGTATCCCGGCCCTCGTGCAACCTTCGCGTAGCATGGCAGTTAGGCACCGAAAGGGTGCCCCAGCTGAACGATTTTTTTTGCTGTCTCCTTACCCAAGATAATCATCAATGCGCATCACCGCACAAAATATCCAGAGGCACACGCCTTCAGCGTCAAACTTTGAAACAGGAGAATGAGTCAAGTCGTTTGAATTGTTCGCACTTTGTGCAGAAAGCCTTAATGTCCATCAGTCCAACCCCGCCAGACACACCCATAGAACAGAAAACTGTCTGTCGATCAAAACCACACAACTGGCTCGTTCTTGTCGTCAACCCCACCCATTTTTGCAATCAACTTTATAGCAGATTTTTTTAATGAAAAAAGTCCCACGTGGTGTACATTATATGCATAAGTTGATTAAGGTTCTCCCTGTGAACAGATAGAATATGAAGACCGAAAATTTCTCTCCGTCGGCAAGTGAACCGACGGCAATGCCTCGGTGTTTCCATCCAGAACCATTCAAAATTGGCCGATAGCTTAATGGAAATTTAGACGGATTCCGGATACACAGCCAGCAACCGGTACTGAAATATGATTGGTTGTTGGACCTGACCAGAGATCGGTCGGAGATAGGCTCGCTCGTTTGACCAATCACGTGCGAGTTAAACCTACCGGCCGTTATCTCACCCAGCTGAGTGCGGTAGGGCGCCTCACTCAGCAAACCATATCAGAGTGAGACTGACACCAACGCACTCAACCTGGTGTAGCTGTGGTGATGACAACAACAACGATCCGAATACGGGAAGCGCATAACCTAGGCATGGGTTAGAAACGAGGTGCTTCGGGTTGTCTGATGCCGGTGAGTTCAACTAATGGAAGTATGATTTGAGTGGACCGATTTCGTGATAGTCATGGCTGGATGGTGATAGTGAGAACCTACAGGTTAGCAACACAAGGTGCAACTGTCTGGGAAGAGTGTAGTAACTAGTACCTAATAAAATATATTCCCATGTGTTTTACTCATGAAGTAGACAAGTGAACATGAATCTGAAGACGAGGGCCGGCAGCCAATATGAAGGCGTCCATGCTGGGTTTGAATCCAGGTCATTGAAACAAAAGTGTGAGGGGCCGACCACATAAATCAGACTTTTCAGCTCGATAGGTCAGATTCTGGGAGATGAGGCGAAAAGTGGCTGGATGAGTAACAAGACTTACCGAACTTCCCATGTCGGTCAACGCGCTTCTGGCACGTTCCAGTCGGGTCGGTTCGAGGCTCACAGTGAACGCACGCACAATATGGGCGCAAAACTCCACACCGATCCCGATGGTCTATGGGTAGAAAAACAGTAATGAGTTGTGGCGGGGGGTCGTAACACGAACAATGAAAGACAAGGAGAGATGCATCGAACAAGAGAATGCTTACCACGACCAAGTTGACCAGTGACAATGCGTTTAGATCGATATGCCACAAAACCATGAGCGCCAGCATACTGAGTACAATGAAGACCACACCAAGCACGACCATAAGAGTGGCGATCAGATTCAGACCCAAAAGAAGAAATGTGACGACGGTGATGGCCAACAGACAAGCGCCGACTTGGATGAGTGCCTCGTTGACGATGGTCACGTATTGCTCGTAGAAAACGTAGAAGACGCTGATGAAAAATGAGTGGAAAAAATAGAGCTATGGAATTGACATGGATCTGATATCAACATGTTGGATGTTTTAACTCGTTCACAAAACGAACTGCTGTGGAAAACTGTTGGGTTGGGGGGGGGACCCAGTACTGATTCAGTCATACAGCAATAGTATAAATAGTCAATGCCTGTGATAACAGTCCTTGTTTTTTTCCAAAAAAGTGAGGAAAGACTGGATGACGCTGTCCTTGCGCGGATTCACAAAGAGTTGTGCACATTACCCATCATTGAGTTAATCAGTAAGCTACACGATCTCGAGGTATCTATTACATCTAACATGAGTGGTTGGCAACTTCCAAAATTGCCTCTGAATACTCTAATTTAGGGCTATTGAGTCGTCTTGAGACGAACGGCCTCGTCGCCAAGCGCTCGGAACCGCTTGGCCGGCAATCTGGACAGAAACTGACAACAAGAACGCCACTGCCATTGATTTGCAGCGTCTCCAACCAAGCTTAGTGGGGATCTCGCGATCTCCACCCTGGAAGGTGAGTAGCACCGACAGGACCCAGACGTTTCATAATCTCTTTCATATCTCTCTCTGCCAAGTCCAACGTTGACCAACTCTGCTTCCGCCACTCTGGACTGAGTACGGAAAACAGTACTCCTTCGGCAAACGATGGTTCGGCCTACGCAACACATGTCCCAACCAACGCAGCTTCTGGTACTCGACAGATTCTTCAATGGGAGTCCCCGTTGCGCAACCGAAAACTCGCTTTCTAACTGCCCGGTTATGGATTGGCCAACACCGACCCACACGAGCTAGGTTCCTGAGAAACTGGTTGTCGAAAACCTAAGGATGTATCAGTTCCGCCGCTCCAACGGGCCGAATCTCACAGCCGTACAACAAAACAGTCCGTACTGTAGCCCGAGATACCAACAACCGACCAGCTGATACTAACCAGACTGTCCACCCACCCATGGGGATTTAGATAAGACGAGATGTACAGATCCCAAACCATACAGTGTGCTGAAACAAAAGTTCAATGAATGGAATCGCATTTTATTGCACGTGGTTTTATTGAGCAATGTGGGCACTCACCTATAAGCGTAAACAGAGTTGCGTGGGGGGGTTTTCGAGTCCACCGGATCGGAGTTGTTTGCTCGCCATTCCTGATTAATCTCATCGGCCACACGACGAGCGCCGCGGAGAGCGTTGATAAAATCATCCGGTTGACTCAACACCGAATGATAGGTCATGAAGTAGGTGGAACTGGTTTGATTTTGAGTATCGAGTGGAACCGCGACACGATAGGGTGCTCGACCACTGGAAAAGCCGAAAAAACCAGAAAGGTTGGTGCCCAGTGGTGTTTCTGACTCGCCCAACAGACAGTGAGATGTTCTGAAACCAGCTAACGCTACCCCAGGGTGTTAGGGTACAAAAAACTGCGAGGACATCCAGATCTTTCTCCGGATACGACGGGGTGACAGTCTGTAAAAGACGTCCCGATAGAATTTCCGGGAAACCTGAGAGAAATGCTAAATTCATTTGAGATGAGAATTCAAAGATGGCTCGATATCTGACCTTGAATTCCCGAACGATTGTCCATAAAGAAGTTGCAGATAGGAAGCGTACGGTTGAAAAAAAAATTGTCCATCAATACGAACCCAGCAAGAAGATCACACGTTCACCTAGTTTTCGTGACAGTCCAAAAAACGTTATGATTCAAATGAAGTTTGAGCTTCACAAATAGCCCGTAAGAGACGCGGGAAAGCCACCGCGACACAATTCTGCCGCAGTCGACCTCAGACAGGATGCCGACCAACAGTGAAGAACAAGGAGTGAACTAGCTCTGGGTGGGCGGTTAAACTCAGAGAGAGCAGTCGGTAACAGATTGCTAAAACAGCGTCCAGGGGGAGCCCACTCTTGGGGTGCCTGCCTGCCATGCCACCCGGAGAAAGCATGAGAGGTAACATATTGCCACGTTACTCAAGCCTAGACAGGAGCAGTTCGGATGCAGAGGGACCTTCCAGTCAGCAAGTTCGCGCCTTACCATCTGAAAAAGGTTTTCAGTGAGTTGGGAGATCAAGAGTCACACAGAGGAAAATTCCATCATTATACCCAAACGGAAGCAATTCGCCGTACGAAACTACAGCCGCAGTACAGCGAGAAATCATCGGAACGGCGTGCTGCTGACCGAGGTCACATGACAGATGAAAACAAGCCAGTGTAGAGGAATGGCGGTGATTCGAGGTCATTCACAAAAGAGCCGTCGTTGTCAAGAGATTGGGACTCACTTCTCATTAGCAGATTGCAACAAAGTAGAGGCAAGCATCTTATTTAAGTTACTTAGAAATCCAGTGTTTTCAATATTATTTTTTTGTTGAAAACTGGCTTCCCACTCAAATTTCCGCAGGACGAAAAAATTTTCATGCGCAGGACAAACTGTCTGAGACACGCTGGATTCCTCATCGCCTAAAACGAGGGTACCACCTGTGGTGTGCTGCAAATGGCGGTACAACTTCTATGTTAGTTCTTCGTTTACTGTTGTGCCCACCATGGTATATATGAAGGCTCGATATCTTGAGACTGTCCTTTATGGAGATATTATTACAACTCTTTTTCATAATGGAAACTACTAACAAGGTTGCTTGAAAACTCTTCGACAGCCCACGACCGGTTTCCCCCTTCTTGTGGCTCATCAGGTAGGTGCAGTCCCCGAGTTTCCATCAACCTTGTGTTCCACTTGAACACGAATTGCACTGTTTTCGAGAAATACACTCATTTGCAAATCAATTTGGTTTTTACGAGAAACTCAACTGAATCTCTCGGTTATGATATTCTACAACTCTGTCTACAGTGTTATCGCAGAATGTTCCCCGCGGTTGCGTTACAATTTCGTGAAGGGGGCTAGAAGCACCGAGGCTTGCTGCCCGATCCTGATTGGCTGATATTCTGACCAATCAGATCATGCCTTCGTTAAGTCCGTAGACCTTATTAATAGTGTGTTACGTCTATAAAGTAGGCATGTATTTTTGTCGGAGTTCATATCGCCGGATGATTAGAGATCTATTCTGGGGGTCAAAAATAACCAAGAAGAGAGAGAATATGGGCTTTTGCGAAAGCTTGACGACTCACCCTTTTGGACAGTCCATTGTGGGATTTTGCTCGAGGAAACCAGGTAAGTAGTGATTGAAATCAGCCTCATTCGGACGACCGTCGACCAGCTCAACTGGACAGGTGACACAGTTCGACTGAGGTTCACTGGCCGGGCACAGATCTGTGCTATTTCGGAAAACACGACAGCACATCGGAGAACCATCGGGATCGACCCAATCAAAATAATCATCGATCCAAGAAGATGGTGGTTGTGCGATCCACGAGCTGAAAACGCAGTTGGGCGGTAAAGAAGGCGCAAACGATCCACGAGCTGAAAACGCAGTTGGGCGCAAGATTTCATCTACAACCACTGGCGGGATTATTCAAAGTCGGGCGGAGATTTACAGTTCAGAAAGTACCATAATTAAGGCTTTGTTCTAAAAGGGTCACGAGGGAGGAGACACTGTGGAGGGGTTTTGCTGTGCCTGACGGATACGATGGATCAGAGTTCCGCTGAAGTGTTTACGTGCCGTGATCTGTCAACTTGCAGCAAACGTACTGAAGAGTTCTCCTAATCTAAACAGTTCGACATTTTGTAACTGCCCAGAAGTGACACCCATTCGGTGCATAGCTGCCATGCAACCCAAAAGAAGTACGTTCAAATGTATTAAGCAATAAGCATATATCTGGTGTGGGAGGAACTTCATCGCTGAAAGCAGACCCCCTGGATGACAGATCATCATACAGTACCACTGTACTTTAACAGCCAATAACAACCGCTTAACTTTATTAAGTACTTTTCAACCAATAAGGGAGGGGACCACAAGGTCAACTCGTCCATCCGCAAATAAAGTAATAATAATAATAATCGACCGGCTGTAACACCCTTTCGGTGCCTAGCTGTCACGACAACCAAAGAAAACACGAGGGCTGAGATACTGTCAGACGGGAGCAGTTGAGATGCTGGAGGGTTGAGTTCGAACCATGGGTCATTAAGTTCACGCCGTAACCACTGATTGACCTCGTCAGTCCGAATCAGCTATGCACTTTAGTAGATCGGCGTTGTGATGCTGACGAAAAAGTGCAGTATGGCTACACCGACTCCTAGGAAGAGTTCCAGTCATTGAGGGTCCACGGCCCGCGGACTGGATCAATGCACAGGGGAACGTAACAATTGGTCCAGTGTTTGGCCAGCCTAATTTACCAAAGATTAAAGGTTGTATTTGAAATAAAAGCACTCACCGAAAGGTTCTTGGTCCGAACCCTGTAACGACTCAATACGCGTGCTTTCTGGCTAATTACGAGAGACTGATAGGGTCCCACAGTTGATGAGGACAGGCTAGAGTATCAACAGTTCATTCAAACACTTACTAGGAGGCCATTTTCGACGCGTCACTGACTTTTCCCATCAACGAAGATTGCGGACAGCCGACGCCGCCACAAACCTCGTTTTGACCCTCAGTCCGATTGTACACATGTCCTTCGGTCACCACAAAGTAGAGCGGCGGACCGATACGGAGATCTTCGGACAGGGCATTGAAATATTTCAGCATGTAGGAGTCAGTTGGCATAGAGAGGCGCTGATCTAAGCCGAGATGCATTCCGTTCGGGATAATGGCAACACAGAAGCAGATCCAAGCAAGACTGATCACAAAAACGATTGGACGAACCCACCGAGAAAGGACGAACGGGGTGAGTACGTTGGCGATGAACCGGTACAGCCAGGGTGTCGAATGGGATTCTGATTGCATGAAGTAGAATAATGGAATGGAGAGAAAACAAATGACAGGAAAATCTTCACATGCGTGTTACCAAGGCTGGAGTACGGTTAAATAACCTTGAGAAGCTGAGGTAATCAATCCGTGCGCTTTTTACCGAGTCCTTCGTTTCGATGGGTCATGCAAAGCTTGGAGACCAAGCAGAACGGCGTAAAAACGGGTCTTAGCCAGGCCAAATCGGATATGATAAACTGATCAAATGGCATGCGGTCGGTGGTGATAACGACTGACCAATCATGTTGCTCGTCAACGCAGCAACGTTAAGCCGTCGAAACCACTGCTGTGTTTCTCTGAGCTTGCTTTTGTTCTCCCCCAAGAACGTTTGAGTCATTGTCTGCTTCCGTTTGATCCCACACTGTATGCTGTGGTGATTTGAACTAACTGCCGTCTACTCTCCAATGCCGCAAAAAGACTCAGAAACAAGCGAGTACAAAAGCTGCAAGCGATATCGCGGTATAAATACCGTACTTTTGACCTTGAATCCAGGTTAGCCAATCGGCCTTGTGTGAACACTTATCATCCTCGGCCGTTGGTGAATTGATTGACTGCTTGAGCGTCCAATCGGCAGCTGGCTTTTCTGGCCCGGAGGCTTGATGCCTTCCCTACTGCGAGTGTGGTGGAATTTGCGGGTCTCAGCAGATTTTGGACATTCTGGGGTTATTTAAAAGAAATCGACCTTGCTGACAAATACATACGCACACGCTTGCCAAACTGCTTGTTGGTGTTAAAGAAAATCTGTCTCGGTATCTCATCGCGGGCCCATACACAGGTGAATGGATATCACACAATGTTTACAGAATCAAAAGGTCAAGCCAAATGCTAGGAGCGTACGAGACGAGTGACTAGATACAGGATGGAGGATTGGTTTATGTGTAGTTTTAAGCCTATAGAGAGTGGTCTTTTCGTGACATCTGACGAAGTCGAGCAGAGTTGAACTGACTAGGATGATTGTAAGGACGGCGTAATGAAAAGAGATCTGAGGGACACAGGTACTTCTCATCACAGACAAACTCCTGATAAACCTGTCAGCCGCGTGCGTAGAGTTATTTTCCACCCCGCTTGTTTGACCGACTCGATCCAGATTTCCGGGCTTCTACAGTTGTCACATTCTTCTGTCGAAAGCTTTGGATTCTTTTCACATCCTCCAATCGAACAAGCTTCGTTCTGAATCCTTTCAGTGACCGAGCGAGACATTACCTAGAATTTTATGCCCATATTTGACCAGAGTTAAAGCGCACGTTCTTTGCAAACAAACGTTCAGAGCTGTCACCTGGCCGTCCCTTCCATCAGAACAGAACGGTCAGCAATGGCCCTCACTGTTCCCATAAACGTGCTTAAGCACCATGACATCGCCCTCATCTTTGAGGACCAAAGCGAGGCACAAGCTCTGTTGAATAAACTGACCGCCATCATACCATCATTTGGCATGCGCCTTGCACCTTCAAAGTGCAAAGTCCTGCTTCAGAACGT